GTAATCTTTTTGTTTTTTATAGTACTAATGAGGTTGGTAGCCTCAGCAGTAATCTGGTTGTGAATATGTTTGTGATGACTAAGTAGTGTGAACCAACAGCCCAGATAATGAAAGGTATCCTTTAAGGGTATAGTATATATAATTGTATTAGCAAAGTTGATTGTTGGATTTGGGTTTTTGGTCTGGTTTGTTGCAAGGATTGATTTGGTAGCATTTACTGTAATGTTGGCCATGTTGTAAAAGGATTCAGCAGAATTAACAATTTGTTGAAGAGTATGTTTGTTAGGAGCCAACCATAGTGTGTCATCCATATAAGCTAGTACTAAGGTGTAATATGTTAGCTGTTGTGTATTAGGTAATTGTGTTGTTGACATTTTGTAACCTTGAAATTTAGAATAAATATGAGTTATTAGAGGGTACTTAAAGATTTCATTAAACACTTATACCAAAATCTTTTCTTTGATTTAATCAAAATATTAGTTAATCTTGATAATACAGAAACACATATTTATACTAAAATTACAAATTCTACTATTTCTATTATATAGTTATTAACTTTATTTAATATAAATTCTATGAACATTTGCTAATCCTAATATTTTAAATTAAATAATATCAAATTATAATAGTTACCATTCTTCAAACTCCAACATCTTTGAAACACAGTTCAGCAATAACCAACTTTGCTTATTAATTAATATACAAAATATTTGGGAATTTAATAAAAATCTAAAACAACAAATATAGAAAATTACTGTCTTTTCAACAACCTTAGCATTATTAGTATAATAGAAACCTAAATTGAAGCCAATAACCCAATTACTAAACTACAAAAATTCAAACATTTCATATATTTATAGTTATGCATTAAAAGCTCTAAAGCAGGCATAGCTGTTTTTTTTTGTTTTTTTTTCGGTATTAAGGTGACCTCTTTGGTCCGAGCTTTTTATTAATACTTATAGTGGATACATGTTTTATATAGATGTATCTATAATGAACTATTAAATGAGTGTACAACTGGCTACACGTATAACTTTTCTATATTACCTATTTAAGGAGTCTGCCCGAGGGTTCCCTACCAGTTGCCATACCTAACACCTCTGCTTAGTTGTTTCATTTAAACCCTCTGATCTAATCCTAATATTAATTTTACTAAATCACAGACCTGGATCTATTCGCATTCGACCATAGAACAATAATCCTTAGACTATTTTTATCCTCGAGGTAAACCTACCAGAGCGAGCCATATTCCCTTTTACAACTAACCTGGTTTGACGCTATGACCGGGGCCAACACTTGCAGTTAGGGTTACCTCTTAAACTGCTATTACTCTTGTAAAGTTCATCCAAACCCTGGTACACATCTTTCCGACTTCTTCTTCATTATCCTCTACTAGCTGCAACTTGGAACTAACCAACTTCCCAGACTTCCATTCCAGATAGCCTGGTATGGTATACTTATGTATCCTTTTACTCTGGCGATTCTGGCAGCCTGGTTGGTCATATGCTCCTCTATACATCCTTGTTATCTGGTTTATCTGACAGTTCCTATGAAGGTGTTTCATGGGCTTCCGTCAGTCCAATGGCACTATCAAAAGTTTGTGCTACCTCTTTACTTGGGATTTCCAAGTGAGTTTCTGTCTCTTCGGTTTTTTAACCTTCTACACCTGGTGGTCTTATTGTGGGTTTGCCCAAAGCCTTATACAACACTGGTTTTACATTTCTTTATGTACATGTACTGTGTAATGTTACACTTAGCATAGATGCCCCAAGCTCCCAATATTAGGTGGGGCCTGACTTGGTGTATCTAAGATTACAGATGCCCAAAACCCAAACGATCGGTAAGAGACAGTTATCATAACACAGGTATAATTCCCAAAATTCATCATCCATGGGAATTGAACCTTAGACCTGCCACTTGAGGGTTGACAACCTATCCACTTCACTAGGTCACCACACCTCTCATTCATGTAATTGTAAAAAGACAGTATTTACAATAAAATTTAGGCTCTATGAGTTTGTAGTAATGTCTTTCTATATGGATGTTGTTTTTGGTAAACTATACCAAACAAATTTGAAGCTAAATCCAGATAAGTGCTATTTTGAAAAAGATCAAATAGAGTTTCTGAAGCATGAAATTTTTAGCAGAGGTATAACTCCAACTACAACAAAAGTGGCTGCTATAAGTAACTTTTCCTAACTTAAGAACCTTCAAACACTAAGAAAGGTTTTAGGTTTGATCAGCTTTTATCATTGTTTTATCAAAGATTTCTCAAGTATAACTGCAACTTTCTACAAATTATTAAAGATAAGAGAAAATTTTACCTAAAGAAAAAAGCAACAAGAAGCATTTAACAAATTGAAGAGTGGCTTATTTTGGCCTCTATTCTTGCTTATTCTCAGAATAATATTAAATTTATTTTATATACAGATGCATCATATCTTGCTCTTAATGCAGTGTTATTCCAATCTGGCACTAATAGACTTGAAGGTGTTGTGGAGTATGCTAGTTGATTCACAAAGCCAGCCAAACAGAATTATACAATAACTGAACTAGAATATACTGCTGTTATTTAGGCTATAAAGAAATTTTACCAATACCTGCATGGATCCCAATTTATAATAATAACTGATCATACTGCTTTGACTTACTTCAACAACATGGCTAATCTAACTGATAGAATAACTAAATATATAATGACTTTTTAGAACTATGATTTTGTAATAAAGCACTAACCTAGAAGGCAACTAGAAAATGTCAATAGGCTGTCACAGATAGAGAAATCTAAATGAAAATCTATATATAGAAAAATATATATATATATATATATATAATAATAAAAATATATATATAATCTTAGTAATAATACATTATATGCAAAATAATACAGATGTAGTAATTAAAAAAGGTTAACTATGATGTTTATGCATAGGGCCTGAGGTGCATAAAGCAATGATATTGATATTATAATAATGTAACAAGCAGCAGAATAATGTAATAACTAAAAAAGATACAAAAGTGAATTAAAAGAAACTCAACCTTAAACAAATACCATCAAGCCAGCCATCTCAAGTTATATTGAATCTATCTTCAGAAGCTGCTTTTGATTAATTATAAGTTTTTTTTTTATCTAAATCCATAATCCAGTCCAGGTGATGGTGTCTTGATACAAATACAAAAAAAAAAACAATCTACAAGTCAACCAAATTCTTAAAATAGAACCCAAAAATTATACTAATCTGATTTAATATTTAACTAAGTTAGAACTGCCTAGAAAATACACAAAAGAACAAAACTAAAAGTTAAAAAATCAGTTCAGATATTATGTTATACAGAAAGAAGTACTGTATCAGAAGAACTGTAAAAAGCCTAATTGACCTTTAAGGATACTAAAATATAAGAAAGTGTGAATAGTATTAAGAGCTTTATATGATAACCTTACATCTGGCTATTTAGATAAAGAAGCAACCATAAAGAAGATATAGAGACAGTACTACTAGAATCAAATAATAGAGAATATTAAAAGCTATATATAAAATTGTAATGCTTGTTAATGTTGTGAGAAACCAAAAACATGAGAAGTGTTGCATCTAATACAGATGATACAACTCTTTGACTAAGTTGGAATAGACATAGTAAGGCTCTTGCTTCTTACAAGAAACAGTAACAGGTACCTGATAGTAGCAATAAAGTATTTGTTAAAATGGTTTAAGGTTTGAATACTATCTAACTATACAGTAAAGTTTGTTGCTGTCTTTGTATTGAAAAACATAGTTGGCTAACATAGCTACTCTTAACAGATTTTGACAGATCAAGAGATCTATTTTAAGAACCAGATTATAGAGAAGGCCTGTAATAAGGCCAGTATTAAGCACAAATTCTTGTTTACATATCACTTTCAGACTAACAGTCTTGTTGAACAGTTCAATCAAACTATTTATGAGGTGCTAGCAAAGTGCATAAGTTAGTACCAGAGAGACTGGAATAATTATATAAGTTTTGCTCTATTGCTTGCAGAACAGCCAAACATGATATGACCAAATATGATCCCTTTTACCTGATGTATAAAAAAGAGGCTGTGTTATCTGTATAATTATTGCTGAAAACTTACTTTATAGATTCTATAGATAATGACTATTATGAGTCAATAGTTTTAGCTTAAATATTAAAATTGGTAGACAAACTATTTGAAGTTTAGATCAAGACATATGAGAATATTTATGAGATCCAATAAAAACAAAAGTGAAGCCATGACTGACAGTACTTCTTGCAAAGTTTTAGAATCAAAGATAAAGTGTTAAGATATTAGGCAAAGCTAAAAAAAACAACTAAGCAGCAAATTGAAAAAAAAGATCAGGACTATACTGAATATATGATGTAATGAATAATAGTATATATTAATTATATATAATAGGAAATAATAAAAAAGTAATAAAAAAGACAGTGCACTGTAGTTAATTAAAATACTATAATACATAAAATAATGAGGAAATAAGGTAATAGTAAAAAAAAAAAATATATATATATATATAAATACGAACAAAAAAAAAAAAAAATAGAATAATATTTTGAAACTTTGAAAAAAATAATTCAAACAACTTGTGAACTAGATAGAGCTTAATGAAGAGCTAAAAGTTAAAGAGAAGAAAGTGATCTTTTAATATCAGTACCAAAAAATTCATAAAGGGTTTAAAAAAACAAAGAGAAGGACCAAGGCTTAGCAAATTTATAATCATTTGGCTTTGTATCTTTAAGACCTAGACCACCTTATAGAAACTGAACTCACAATGCCTATTGAAGCTACTGAAGAAACCTGAAGTGAAAAACTAAGTAACATGTGTAGTGATATCAAAGATCTGAATTTAAGAACCCAATTAATTTTGAAGTATTAGAAACTTACTATAAAGTAAAAAGCTTGCTATTTGAAAAAAGTTGAAGTGACAAAGCATAAAAGGAGTTGGCTGAGTGACTTCTGATATTCAAAGTGAGTTTAGTATAAAAAATTGCAAAACAGATGTATATGTTGTTTACTGTATGAGGTAAGTCATATATGCATTAAGTTTAATACATATTGATTTTGATGCTAAAATAAATGGTAAAAAGAGATTTTTCAAAGGCAATATTGACAAAAGCAAGGAGGTTGAAAGAAGAAAAAATTTAGAAAATAGTGATAAGTTTGCAGAAGCTTATTTTTTGAACAAAGAAAGATGTTATGAAACCTCTGTACTTTTTGTTTTTTTCTTTTGTTATCTGTTTATATATAAAAGTTAATATAACATAGTAATAGGGTTCAAAATCCTAGTATAAAGTTTATATGCATAAATTAGTGTAGCATAGTAATAGTGTTCAAAACTCCAGTATAAGGTATGAGACTCTGTCAATTTGTATATATAATTCATAAATAGCATAATGTAGTAGTAGAGTTCAAAACTCTAGTATCAGGTTTGAAACCCTAATCTAGAGCTTCTAATGGGTTCAAAACCCCAGTATGAGGTTTAAAACCTAACTTTTAATATTTGTATAAATAAGGTGCATGCCTAATAAATAAAAAAATTCATTCTGCTAGATCAATAAAAATAAATAGCATAAACTAAGACCCTACTTGTAACCAATATAATAAGCAATAGTCTTATATAGTATAATCTAGCAATTGATCTCTAACTCTCATATTGTTATTTGAAAACCATCAATTTGCTAGTACTAGTCATATAACTCATGATGATCTAACAGTAATTTAGCAATTGAAACCACTCCAAACTAGTCCTATTAATCAGTTAGTAGCCAAGTCAAGATCATGTCTATGCTTGTAGTATTGTACTAAAACTAGGCAACCATATAAGGAAGGCTTTCTCTAACTACAACAATAGTTATATTTGTATTACTGTATTATTTCTAATCTACATTATCAATAATTTTGTTTAGAAAATAAATACTGCTAACTGTTTTGGTAATTTTACATGTCAATCTTTAGGAAAAAGTAAACTAAATTACACACTTTTATAAAATTTTCTTCAAAAAAAAGTAGAAGTACTAAATAATCAACTTTTTAGCTTTTATAAGTTCTTAATTCTTGTGAATATTTTTTGTAAGTTTTACAATTATATAAAACTAATATATCTAACTTTGTTGTTTACTTAATAAAAAATCTTGCCTTTTACTAACTACTTCTTTTATAGTTTTAAAATGCTCTTTAAACTATTACTACAAGGCTGCAACTTTTTTTAACTCTATTTCAATGTTCAACAATGTATGTACAGTACTCCAGAAAGGTTTTCATAAAGTTTAATATATTAACTATATTATTTTCTGTAGTTTGGCTTTTTGGAAAGTTTGGTTCAAATGATTACTAAAAAGAGTAAATAAAATAAAATTATATTTAACAAATTTAATAATAGTATTAATAATTAATTGTAAATAAAATAAAAATTATATTTAACAAATTTATTAGTAATAATTTTAATTATTTAAATTTGGAGATGAGGTCTTGTAGCCTAGTGGTCTAGGCACCTCTTCTTCTACAGACAAGGTCTACAGTTCAATTCTAATTGAAGGCAAAAACTCTGTAATCTACAGAAGCATATGAATATACATAAAACCCTATAACTAAGTCTATGTAAATAGAAGATTAGTGTATAAGAAAGTTCTCAGAAAGAAGTTTTCTAATATAGAGAGTTGGCACTCAATGTAAAAGATGCAATAAACATATCAAAAATAAAGAAAAAATATACTAGTAGATAATATGATAAACATAAAAGAAAGCTACAAAAAAGGAATAGACTTACTAAAATTTGAACACTTCTAGCATTAAAACCAGTTTAATAGATTTGGAATATACTAAATTGAATCTAAGTAGTAATCTTGATACTAGCTTAGTAAGCTTGCATTAAGAGTAAATTTAAAGGAATATGAATACTTAATAATATTCAATGAAGTAGTACTTTGATATAAATAGTAACTAAAATAGTTCTAATCTGAGATGTCACAACAATAGTAATATAGACATTGCATATATATGTAATATGTGTTGAAAATCAGAAAGTTTAAATAGAAGACTTATAGATAGGTCTTAGATATGAATCTAGTAAGTAATCTATAGGTAAAACTTTTAATTAAATAATGATTAAAGTTATATATATGATTAAAAATACTTTTGTTAATAGACTATTGCATATAAAATATGTAATCATATATTACTTAATAAAGATATACAGGCAAGATTGCTACTTCAAATGAAAAAAAATAATTATGATTTAAATTTTATTAAAACAAAATTTTATATCATAACATCTACTTGTACAATTTCTATTATTTTTTTATATTTATATTTTTTATTATTACAAAATTTCTTATAATTACAAATTGTACTTGATAATAATTTCATACTTTGAAGTCTTTTTGTTTTTTTTTAATAGATAATTTACTTGAAAAAATTTTATCAAGATTAAAATAAGTCATATTTTCAAGTGCCTCAAATTTATTAGCAAAATAACAAATATTGCTTATATCAAATTAATACTTTAAACATATCAGATTTTTAAAAGAAGCAGTGAGTTTGGCAACATAATTTTTCCTTTTAAGAATAGGTTTCTATAAGCAAGCTTTTTTAAGTTTAGTTTAAGTTTACTTATAGCTTCTTGCTATAATTCTTTTTTTAATATACTATTAGCAGTAATGCTATATTCTAAAACTATAACATGGTCTTGTTTTTCTAGTTTTTTAAATTAAGTTTTTTCTAAAAGAATCTTTTCTTTTGCTATGTTTGTAAGTAGCATTAAATTAGTTTAGAGCTTGTTAATTTTTGTATTAGAAGCTTTTTCATAGTTATTGAATAGGTCTAATATTGTTGTTCAATCAAAGTAAGAGCTAATGCCTATTGTTAAATCATCTGCATAAGTAGTACATTTAAAAGATTAATTGTTAACTTTGATTTCTGTTATGTTTTTGTTTATTATGTTTAGCAATAGTTTAAATGCTAACACATATAGAAAAGGTGAAAGCAGGTCTTCTTGTTTAACTTCTCTTTCTATTCTAAAAAAGTTTGAAATATATCCTTAATTTAAGATGTAAACTTCTTTTCAAGAGAATAGATTTTTTATTAGTTCTTTAAATTCTTTATTAAAGCATATATTTTTTAGTATTAGTTGAAAAAACTCATAACTTATTCTATCAAAAGCCTTTTGCTGATCTACAAATAGCATCCAGTGCTTTTTTGTATTATTTTTTTGGTTTTTAAAATTATAAGAATATTCAATACAAAGTCTGTAATTAATCTGCTTGTGATGAAGCCTTGCTAATATTGAGGTACAATTGTTTTACAAATTATGTTTAGTCTGTTGACAATAATTTTCATAAAAATTTTAGCATCACAGTTGATTAGTGATATAGGTCTCTAGTTGTTTATATTGTGTAGCTTCTTTGACTTCTTTAATATTGTAATAGAATTTACTTTTTTTTTCTATACTAATATATATTTATTTTTAGTTCTAATTATATTTTATATTTTTTCTAATATTTTTACATAGTTTATAGATTATTTTATTAGTTTTAATCACCTATTTAATAGATTAATATTTATTTTATTAGTAAATTTCTTATAGTACCATATAGTTTCGAAAATAAGCACTTCTTTTTTGCATATAATGCTGGCTAAAATAATTATAATACAGGCCAAAATTGGTATAGTACAGGCAGTGATGCTTATTTTCGAGGGGTGCTTATTTTCGGAACTATACGGTATTTTATTTTAACTAATAATTATTAGAATATCTAAAAATACAGTTGTTTAGTATTACAAAGGCCCTGACCAAAGGCTCCAGATCATGCTACAGATGCCTCAGAACACTCTAAAATGATAAAACAATTAATTTAATTATAGTTAATTAATATTTATTAATTATAATGCAATATTTACTATAGTGTTACTATATAGTTTCTATGTACTACTATAGTAATTTTTAGTATACTTAAGAAAACACCTGTAAGGAGGCTTTTGAATGCTAAATGACTATAGAGAGTTTTGTAGATAAACATATAGGCTACACAATGATATTAATTTTATTTTTAGTTAATATATAAGTTATTGCACAATAGAGTGCCAAGCATTAGTAAAATTAGAAAAATACAGAATTAGTTTATCATTTGTGCACAAGCATTATTAGTGAAATGCATATGAAATTTCTTAATTTTTGTTGCATTTTAGATGTTCATATGGTTCAGGATGATGCTACAACACATGGTAGCTCTAAAACCAATCAATTATTAGGTTAAAAGCTATAAAAAGTATAGTTTTTTGCCTTTCTAAAAAGACAGTTCTTAGAAGTTCTAAAATAACTCTTAAATAACTTTCTTTTAAAGTTTTTAGAAGTTCTTGGATAGCTTTTAATAGTTTTTGGAAGTTCTAGTTTTATATATATAAAAAGCTTCTTGTAATAATTATTTAACTAACAACTCTTTAATAAAATAACCTTTAACTATTATTCTTTAAATATTATTTATAAAAACTATTCTTTATTTTATTCTTTATTTTATTTTCTTTATATTTTATCTTTATTTCTTTTATTTTTTTTTTTTGTTTCTCATAATAATATAAAGTGAAAAGCTGGTTTTATTAATTAGTTATTTGGCAAATACTAGTTTTATATTATTTATTTATTTTATTGCTCTTTTTCTTATAATAATATAAAGTGAATAGTTGGTTTTCTTAATTAGTTACTATATTTAGCAAATACTAGCTTTATATTATTGGAATCTAAAAACCATATATAGCTATAAATGGTCTAATTATTAAGGCTTTCTTTCTTTGGTTATACTCTATAGACATTTCTAAGTTTTAAAGTCTAATAATTCTTGTACAGAGTAAACATTTTGTTATATCTGATCTGCACAGACTGGACAGTAGAATTAGTTTAAAAACTGATCCTATAGTTGTACCTTATAGTGCCTAGAAGGCTATTAAATTCAAATTTTATTTTTAAATATTTATTTCTTATTTTTGGTTATTTTTATTTATTTTATTTTCCTTTAAATAAAAAATCTTATACTCAGCATTTATGCATTTAAAATTACTATAGCTTGCTAGTTTTTAGTAAATTTTATTACAATATTATTGTAACTAGATTTTTGCATCATGAGAAAGACATTATTTTTAAGATTAATACTTGGTTAAAGATTTGTTTTAAAATAGATGTAATGTGTTTGTCTGTAAATTTAAAATTTTATATATAAGATCATCCAGTCTTAAGAATTTGTTATTTAGTAGTTTTTAGATAGTTGTTAAAATTTCTTCCTTAGAGATAGAGTCTGTTAGTTTTTTGTTCATTTGTATAAAAACCTGTAAGAGATTTTTGATAATTTGTTTTGCTATTTTATTATCAATTTCTTTTTTGCTATATATTGTAAAGTATTGTTCTTTAATATAATTAAGTACTTCTTTTTTATTAGATTATTTTTAAGTTGAAAGAATTTGTATTTTTGTAAAAACTAAACATAAGCTTTGATTTTTAAAACATAAATAAAAGTATTTAGTTGATTTTTCTTCTAGTTCTATCTAGTTTGTTTTTGATTGATATTACTATCTTTGTGTTAGTTCAGTTAATTTTAATTGGACTTGTGAGTTAAGTTTGTCTAACATGACAAAAAGGTGTGTTTGGCTAGAAGTCTTGGCTATAATTTCTTTTAATTAGCTAATTTTCTTGTTGAGTCTTTTTATTTTGTCTTCTGGAGCTTTTGGTTTTTTGAAGGCCTTTATAATTAATTTAATATAGTTTTTATATATGTTTCAGCTTATTGCAGAAGTTGTATTTTTAACTTTATTTAAGATATTTTTTTTTAAAACATCATTTTTAAAGGAATTTAGATCAAATTTCCAAAGTGTTGAATGCCTAGGTTTTTGTTTTAGGCTTAGAATGCATTTAACTAAAAGATAATCAAAGTTTTCAAATTTTGTTTTAGTTTTTGATTTAAAGTAGTTATAGTTTTCATTTATAAAGATATAGTTTAGCTGAATAGCTATTATTTAAGTTGTTATATGTATTTTAATAGAATATGTAAAAGGGGTTTCATTTAGAAAAAGAGGCTAAGTTGATAAATTCTTTTGTAATTTCATTAAGTAGCATTTTTGAAAAGTTATTTTGAAGAGTTATTTGACTCATTCTATTAATATTTGAATTTAAGTTTGTGTTTAGATCTCTTGTAATAATGTTAATTATATTCTCTTTCTTGTCTATATTCCAATTGTTAAAAAATTTAGTTTTGCTTAAAATGTTTGATAGTATATAAACATTTATTATATAAAAAAAATTTTCTTAAATGTAAAACATGTTGAAATTATTCTATTTTCTTGTAATTTTTTGGTTTCTTTAAATTATATATTTTTTTTCCTGTTAAAATTACCATTCTGTCTGTTCAAATTGAGTCAAAAGACTATTGGTCTTTTAAAAATTGTTGAATGGCAATATTAAAAGTATTTGTTTCTTATAAAAAAATAATGTTTAGTTTATAAGATTTTAAAAATATTAATGTTTTAATCTGTTTAAATTGTTTAAGCCTTTAACATTTAATGTAGCAATTTTGATTAAATAATAGCTCATTATAAATAAATTATTTAGTTTTAAAGCTTTCATAGACTCTTTGTTTTGAATCATTCTAGTAATTTTCTTTGTTAATTACTTTGTAAAGTTATGAGTCCTTATGTTTTTTTTTTTTATATACAACTAATGTAAAGGTTGGGTTATTTACTTTTTTTTATTTATTTGATTAAGTATTTTCCAAATCTATATTATTAATTACTGGTCTTTGTATTATATTAAGATTATTTTTGATAGAAATTTCTGTGTAAACAGTATTTGTTTTGCTATTCATATCATAATCTGATATATTTTCTTCTGTTTTTTGTTCTTGTAAGCGTATTTTATTTATATTTATATCTTGGGTTTCTTCTTGCATTAAGAGGTTTTCTACTTCTTCTATATAAGGATTATCCTTTGTTGGGTTTTTGATTGGTATTCTGTTTTGTGCACTTTTTCTTTTAAATTTTTGATAATACAGTCTTAGGTTTTTTGCTTCTTAAAATTATACATAGTCTTTTTTAATATATCTTATTTGATCACAAAAATAACAAACTTTTGGTATCTCCTTCTACTTAGTAGTCATTCTATTATCAGCTATATATATGAATTGAAGAATTCTTTGTTCTAATTTTGAATCTTTAGTATTATCAAAGATAATGATCTATTGATTTGTTATATAAGAAGTATCTTTGATAAGTAAAGGTTTAATTAAGACAATTTTCCCAAAATTTGCAAAGGCTTTTTCATCAAGCTAAAAATATATTTCTTGGTTTCTAATAGTATATTTCTTATTTTAATTGATAGAAAGTATTTATGTGCATCTGTTGGAATATAGCTATAATATGTTTGTTAAAAATTTTAATGCCATTAGTAATGTAATATATTAATTGATAATCTATTAGTCATCTAAACAAAGATTATAGTGTAATGTGATGCAAAGCACTATATAATTTACTATAAAATGAAATACAATATGCATCTATTTAAAACATTTTTTAGTACTATGTTAATAGTTTATATCTATTAATTAAAAGTTGTAGAGCTTACTGAGACAAATCTAATAGCAGTTAAATTATTCAAATCAGTTAAAAAATGCTCAACTAACTATGTAAAATTCTATACAAACTATTGTTTATATAGAATTTTATATAGAATTTTGCATAAGGGTGTGGTGACCTAGTGAAGTGGATAGGTTGTCAACCCTCAAGTGGCAGGTCTAAGGTTCAATTCCCATGGAT